TTTTTTTGACCAATGAAAAAAAATAATCCTTTCTACTTTCTCTATCAGAGTTAGCATTAGCATTATTAAACATTCCATTATAAATTTTATATACAAATGTCTTTCTTTCTGATGATAATGATGATAATAATTCAACATGCGACATTATACAAAAATATAAAATATAAATTCGACTTTATGTTTAATGAATGTGATAACAGTTACTATTACGCTATTTCCTTTTTTTTGCGGAGAAAGTGAATAGCGTGTAACAAACAACATTTTCGTACAACATTTTTTTTAACATATATAAAAGAAGAAAAGGATGCAACTTGAAAAACGAAAATTGCATTATTTAAAGAACAACTTTATCGTCACCAGACCTTAGTAATTGATTTATCGTGATTCAACAATAAAAGAATTTCGACATTCTTTGATGATTAAAAGTGACAAAAATAGAAACCAAACATGTTTTATATGTGCTATGTAAAGATCGTTCCAAGTACCAATATCGATCAACCTGTGTTGCGTTTTTATTTTATTACTGTGTATTACTAGTACGCGTAGTTAACTTCAAAGTCAAAATTCGAAAAAACATCAATTTAACACAACTTATATGTGTGTATAAAAGAATAATTTTAATTTGTAAAAAAGAAGAGATATTTTTATTTTGAAAGAAATATACGGAAAAAACAAGTAGTTTAATCAAGTAAAATTCTAATTCAAATTATAACATTCCATGATTATTATTATTCTTGCATCATTGCAATATATATATAATATATATAATGATAATTTTCTATCCATCCCCGGATGGCTCATCACATGATTTCGGAATAGTCGTTTTAAACCCAGTTAGGGTATAAATTTATTTATAAAATACTTGTGATATGTTTTACTAATACACGTATAATATACAATAATTATAATTGAAATTTTTAATAATATTTTTGCTGAATCAGATAGCAGCACATTCTCTTTCCAACCATTTCAATCCTAAACTACCAGGTTCCAAAAAAGGTTTCACTTTTTCCAGACAATCATTATGATAATCATTAATCCATTTGTGTTCAGAAGGACTTAACAGAGTAGTATCAATTAGTTTTGTTTGAATTGGAACAAGTGTAATATGTTCAAAACCAAAATAGCCACGATCACCAAAATTATTTGGAGTTTCTGCTTGACGAACTAATAAAACATTTTCAATACGAATACCAAATTTACCATCCTCATAATAACCTGGCTCGTCTGTTACAGTCATACCAACTTGAAGTGGTGCATCATTAAATGCTATTCTGGTTCCTATACCATGAGGACCTAAAAAAAACATATATATATATATATATATATAATATTAAATATAATTTGTAAAAATGGAAAAATTTTCAACTTTTTTTTTTTGTTCTTATTTACCTTCATGTACATTTAAATAACATCCAACGCCATGACCAGTACCATGCCGATAATCCAAACCATCTTTCCAAAGAGACGTTCTAGCAAGAACATCCAATAGATATCCTATTCAAATATATTATATATAATATCTTTTTTTTTACAAGTCATATAAAAAATAAAAATTTTTTTTACCTGTTGTTCCTTTTGGAAAAACAGCTTGATCTATAGCAATATGACCTTGAAGAACACGCGTAAAAGCTCGTTTTTCTTGCTCAGTAGGTTTACCAAAATGTATAGTACGTGTCACATCAGTAGTACCATTTCTATTATTATATAATTATATACTATATAATTATAGCTTGAGATAAAAAATTGATCAATAAATAATAAACATTTAGTTTTACTTGTATTGTCCACCAGAATCACAAAGGTATAAAAGTTTTGGATCAATTATAGCGCATGTTTCTGGTTCTGGTTTATAATGTATAATCGCACCATTTGGTCCAGATGATGAAATAGTATCAAATGAAAGTCCAACAAAATCTTCTTGCTCCCTATAAATAAAAAATTTTACCTCAATAAAAAAAAATATTAAAAAAGGATATTACCACTAATAATAAACTACATAATACATACGCTCTAAATTTTTCTAAACGATCTGCTCCATCGACTTCATTCAATACTGCTCCAGCATTTAATTGTTCTTCTAACCATGCAAAATAATTAATCTATTTTCAAATAACAATTAGAATATCATTAAAAGAATCATTTCATGATTAAAACAATTGTTAATATTATAAGATTAATAATCTACCAATGCAGCAGCGTCACGTAAATGACATTTTCTCATTCCTTCTAACTCAACCTCATTTTTAATTGCTTTAGCATCTGTTACTGGAGAACGAGCTTCCTCGACATTTTCCTGCATCATATTTTTTTAAAAAAAGGTAAACAAGTGATGCTTTTGTGACAATAATAATATAATATTTTTATAAATAGAAAACACTCACTTCGCCAATTGCGATTGTTAAAGCATAACTCGCTCTATTACTGATTAACAATTTCTATTATATTATAAATATAAATATATTAGTGTTGTTGTTATTTCATTGAAATCATTCAATAAAATATTTTAACTAAAAAGAAAAGAAAAACAACCTGATTATCATTCTTCAAATTAACTTGTAAACTTTTTAAACCTTCAAAAATTGCATTATAAGGTTTAAATTTTATGTCAGATTTCGAAAGTTCTTCTTTTACTTCTTGTGTTAATTTATAATCCTCGATATATAATATAATATCATTTTTTGTAACAAGTGAATATGCAAAAAATATTGGGTTATAAAGAACATCTGATCCACGAAGATTAAATAACCCTATATTATTATTTATATATTTTATAAGAGTTAATAATAATTCAATTAGAATATTTTGAAATAATAATAATAATATATATATTTTATATTACAAGCAATTTCGTCGAGTGCTGAGATAACAAATCCATGATAATTCCCCTTTGAAAGTTCTTCTCGAAGGTTTTCAATTTTTTCATTGCGTGAACAACCTATTAAATAAATTGGACAAGTAAGCAATCAATTAAATAATTAAATTAAATAATTAATTAAATAATTAAATTAAATAATTAATCATTCGCCCAAAATAAAAATCCCAAAAATAAATATACCAGCATATTTTAATGGTAAAACAGTTACAGGATCTTTAGGAAATGGTGGTCTATCATCACCCCATACCAAGTCCACCAAATTATCATCAATATACGCCATTTTTGATCCGATTCTTCCCAATGATTCATTTAAACTTTTTGCATCAGCTATATTATTTTATATTTTTATATAAAAGATATGTAATAATTCTTTTTTATAACAATTTTAATCACCTAATCATCTAATTAACCTACTCACATGTGGAAATAAGTTGTGGATCAATCCCAATTCTGGAACCTTTAGGAATATTCTATATTATAAAAATGATTGATCAAATAAAATGATGCTTCACATAAATAAATAAATTGTTAACAAATTAATAATGATTACCTGTGTTAAATATTCTTGCCATGTAGGAACATCAGGTAAACCTTGTTTCATTAAAGTCCAATTTGAATCCATCTGTTGGCCTGCTTGTAAAAAATATCGTCCATCAGTGAACATTGCAGCACTATCTGTTGTGACGACAGCCAGCCCTGCAGAACCTGTGAAACCAGAAATAAAAGCTCTTCGAGCATCACGTGAAGCTGTGTATTCACTCTGATATTTATTGTTGAAATAAATAATATGAATTATTATTAACATTGGATCAATAATTGATGATGAATTATCATGATAATAGTGATTTTAATAATAATAATAATAAATATTATTATTATTGTTTACCTGGTGAGCATCTTCAGAAGGGATGACACTACAACAAAAAAAAAAAAATTGTAAAACAGTTGATTTAATTTCAATATAAAATAAGTCTTTTTTCTCGCAACATATCACTAACTAAGCTGCCAAGTTATATTTTTCTTCTTTAAATAATGCTCGAAGTTTTGCCAGTCTGTCTGTTGTATCAATAGGAGCACAAGAAGTACTTTTACTTTTTGTCATAATGTTGAGTTTCTTGCAATGAAAAGTTGAAAAGAACAACGAAGAATTGATGAATGGATGATTATCGTAATTTCGATGTGAAAATCACACGATGGGCGGATTTGCATACTAATACACAACAATAATTTCCAAATTTAACTCTGGCGACAAAAATTTCAATGGTGAAATTAATTGTGTTATCACATTTTTATACTAAGCTTTTTCAACTAGCAAATATATAATTATTGTTGAAAACCAAAATATGGCATGGTTTTCTAGGACATATGGCAGGTGCTAAGTTTGCATCTTCTGTTTTGGATGCAACAGTTAAAGACAAACATGGTAAATTGAACAATCATATATGGGGCATACTCCAACCCGATAAAGTGAACGTAAAGTCACAGTGTTCAAAATTTTTAGTAAACCTTTTGTTGCTCTGGATATATTGTATGTTAAACAAAATTATTATTATTAATTATTAGATATAGATGTTTATTATTATTGTAATACTTGATGTCACCAATCATTATTTGGGAGAACGTATTAATTGATGGTAACAATAAATATTGATTATGTGGTGGATCAGAATGAACTGGCTATTACTAACAAATAGTTATCTTAACGAAAGAATATGATGAATTTAATTTAGTGGGACGTATTTAACTTTAAAAAAGGTGATTTTTTTTTCATATAGAATTTGTTTAAAAAAGGAAATTTCAAGTGTTACGAAAATGATTGCGTTGTGTTATATAGAGTAGTTAAAGTTAAAGTTATCAACGTCAACGTCATCATTTACGTTAATGTTAATGCTAACGTTAAGTTAAGTTAAGCGCTGCCAAATTTTTTTTTAAACGGATGGAAGTTCTATTTATAATAAAAGAAAGAAAAGATGTCGGACCAATAAAAAAAAGCTTAAGCTGACTATGAATTACATCCCTTCCGTCCCTTTGATTTATATAATAATAGATAAACTTATGGTTTTAAATAATCAAAAAAGCCACTGTTAAATGTTTCAACATTTTAATTAATTTATAAAAATAAATTTCTTAAAATAGAATTAGGCTTTAGTTTAAGAAATGCCTTCTAAATTCGAGTAAAAAAAAAAAAAAAGCATACCATCCATTTTTTTATCTACGTGCTTCATTAAGACCATCTCTTCCACTGACAGTGTAATTAGTGGAAGCCAAAAAATT